CACAAAGAGTCTGTGCTTCTTTTTTTGTATTGTTTCATGTGGTTTAACTTTCTCACTGTAGCTCTCTGACATTGTCCCCTTTGTATAGATTGTGATTCACATAACAACAGAACTTTTTCTTCTTTTTTTTTTTTTTTTGGTCACATATTTGAAGCTTTTTTCACTGCAGAACACCCAGTAGTTCCTCCTTTCCTGTTTGTGTAGCTGATCATATCTGCCTCCGCCCAGTAGTGTGCACTTATCCCTGTTGAATAGAACCCTCCTTTTTCCAGACCAAATCACTAGTGTGCGAAAATCATTCTAAATCCTACATCTGTCCTCCAGCATGCTAAAGCCTCCCAGTTTGGTATAATCTCCAGTTATGTAAACATGTTTTCTGAACCATCGCTGAGTTCATTACCATCCTTCTGACGAGGCGCTTGTACCACCTTCCTAAATAACTTAATCTACATTATTTTCACTGTTTACTGAAAGAGTATCATATGAAACCATGTCAAAAAATCTTACTAAAGGGACATCCAACATGACCTTCAGTGTTTCTCCTCCACTGATGATTCCTCTTACTTTGTTGCAGGAGAGATTAGATTTGACATTTTTGTTCTTGACAAAGCTGTGTTGGCTGTTACTTGTTGTGTTACAACTGCTTAAGCATAGCTTGTTTAGTTGCTCCAGTATCTTTAAATAAATTGGTATATATAATTTCCTATTTCCTTCTTTCCTTTCAACAATACTGTTTGTTCCTTTCTGTCCTGTAATATTCCTTCACTGTGTGTAATCTACAATAACCACTAGTAAGTGAGATTTTATTATCCAGTCCTTTAAATCCAGCTGACAGGAAAGCAGCAAATTTTGTTTGAATAATTTCTCACTTGGTCTTTTTATAGTATAATATGAAATCTGCTTGTTTTCCCCATTATCAATGATGCCTAATATATACATATATAAAAATAAAAATTAGATGCAAAAATGTTGAGAAATTTGGCTTTCTCAGTGTTGTCTGCTAAAAACTTTTCAGTTCTGCTTGATACTGGCATAATCACTTGCCTCGTTTTTTCTGGCAATGTACTTGAAATTATTTCATGTAAGCCCAAATATCCCAAAATTACTAGTTGTGTTTCATTTCCTGCTGCCTTTTCTGACTTTATTCCTGCATGATTAGGCTACACTTTTGTAATTCTCCCAAGTAACCCAACCCAGCTTCTTTCCTGGATGCTTCATTCCTATTTGAGGTTCAGAAAGAGCTTGTGACAGCCAGGATGATCTTTTACTCTGCCCTTACCTCTTCTGCACAGAGAGTTCACTTACTTATACTCCTAATGTTATTTCTTTGAGGAAGTGCCAGTTCTCTTAAACATTTTTTTTGCCTGCATCAACCTCTCAGAACATCATATTGACACATTGCATGAGTTCATTGAAGCCTACCTCTATGAAATGTCTTGCTTTTGTTTTGATGTTGTTACTTCTTTCTAAAATCACAGAATCTCCCTCCAAAAAACTGTGAAGCCATACATATATGTATACATATACACATATATTTATACATACATACTTATATATACATGCATACACACGTGTCTATCTCTCTCTTTGTGAAGAACATTGAGAACTTACAAAATGCCTAGTTTTTCTGACCCAAATATTTCAGTTTAATATCTACAAAAGAAAAATGAAAAATGATGAGTGAGCCATCAGAAAACAAGCTCATAATTCTGCTGGAAAATTGTTAGCTGGGCTTCCTGATTTCAGCCTCCTGGGGCAAGCAAGAATAGTAGAAAATAAAAATGGTAAGGATAGGGAAGAAGATTGGCTGTGTTTTTGTGCAGCCTTCCAGCTCAGACTCTTCAAGAAGAGCTGGGCATCATTGGTCAGAGCTGGCACAGGCAGAGTGGCCCTCAGGCAGCAGGTGGACTCAGGTACAGGTCTGCAGCAGTTCATCTGACAGGCTCTGCAGCAACAGAGTGGTGTCCCACTGGCTCACAGGGAACAGATTCCTCAGACGCTATACCTAGCACTGGCTTGGGCTTAAAGAATAACTTTAAAATATGTTTTCGTTTCCTCTGTGTTTCACAGGGACTTATTCTGTGACACTTGGAACATTTCTGTATCCATCTCTATGATGAACATAATCTCTCCTTTTTCTGCAGAAGTTCCATATGACAGAAAGGGGAAAATATTTCAAATTAAGCAGCATTCATCTGCATTGGCGATGAGCATAACACACTTCACTATAAAGATTTTCTGTAAGCATATTTCACTATTTCTCTTGTGTATTTTTAATCACTTCAATTAGCATAGTTTTACTTGTTTCTCTCATGTTTTCAAAATATTAAATATTTATAATTACGGCAAGGGCTCATTTTCCTTGTTTCTAAAGAACCATTTACTGCTTATGGGAGTGCTTAACATAAATTGTTAGTAGTGACTTGCAGTATATGCAGGATACTAAAATGGGCTGTAAGAATTCCAATTTCATGTAGAAGAATTAGAGGGGGTTTGGTTATATATTTGAGCTTTCTTTTTTGTGTGTTTGGTTTGGTTTTTTGTTCATTAAAAGAACTCTTAGAATCGCATTCTCATGACCTTAGATTAATTTAGAACTTAAAATTTCACTTTTCAAGTCATGTTAAATAGTGAAGTTGAAACTTGGGCACAAAATCCCCTTAAGGTTGGTAGTATTTAAGTTATGATTTTTTTACCAGTTATGCCTACATACCACTTGGGGTCTGAATTATAATACCCGAAGCTTACACAATGGGAATACCCCCTCCTAAAAATCTAAGGAGGCACTTCTTGGCTATTATACAGTTTTTATAAGCGTGGATCTCTGCAAAATAATTGTGTAAAATTTCCCAGGTGAATATGCACCAATTTTAACGCGCATTATACACGCTGATTATATACAATTGTGCACGTACATTGCGATCCTTGTGCACCATAACGCGGGGCACTGTCCCGGTCCGTGCACACGGACGGTGCCGGCGGCACTGCAGCGCCTGACACTGGCTGCCTCAGGTTTCCCTGCAGAAACCCCTGCCGTCGATCCCTCACACACCGAAGTCTCGCACAGAAACACCTGCCAGGGAGTGATTTTCTCCCCTCACAAGGCGGTCCTGCTCCTCGGGCGCAGGAGCCCGCGCCGACCTCGACCCTCCTATCGAGCGGCCCCCCGCAGGTCCCGCTCGTTCGCTTCTGCCGCCGCAGGTGCGGGCGCGGGGCGGGACGCTGCGGCTGCCGCGAAACCCCGACCGCCGCTCCCCGCTCCCCCTGCGGCGCCGCCCCTGTCGCTGCCGCCGCCGCTGCCCCGCCGGGCGGGCGGAAGGGGGGCGGTGGGGGGGAGGCCCCGCGCCCCCGGTGCCGCTGCCGGGCATGCGCCGTGCCCCCGGAACATGGCGGCGGCGTGAGGCGGCCGACGGCAGCAGCGGCTTGACAGGACCCGCGTCCCGCCCGCCCGCCCAGTGAGTGGCGGCGGCGGCGCTGCCCGCTCCCCGCGGCAGGCAGGGGGAGGGAGGAGCGGGGAGAGAAAGGGAGGCGAGGCGGCGGTCGCGCCCCTTCCCGGGACTCGCACCGCGACCTCCGCCCGCCGTGGCCGCGCCGGGCGCCGCGGTCCCGGGAGCCCCCGGGTGCCCCTCCCCGCCAGCCCCGCTGCGCTGGAGGCGGCACCGGGTCCGACCGCGGCTGCACCGCGCTCTGGCACCGCGTCCAGGCCTTTCTGCGCTGCCCGCTCCCCTCCTCGGAGGGTCCCGCCGCCCCCCGCCCGCGGGGACCCGCCGGTAGCCGCGGCAGGAGCGGCTTCCCGGGCGACAGGAGCGGGGCGGCTGTGCCTCCCGGCACCAACAAAGCGCCTCCCTCTCTATCGGGGTGGCCGCGAGTCCCGGACAGCGGGAGTCCCGGTGAGCAAGGGCAGTGCGGGAGGTCCCGGAGCCGGCGGTGCCGCCTTGGCGGGGCTGCATCGGGGCCGGCGGCGTTTGACAGGAGCGTGGGCAGGACACGCCTCCCCCGGCCGGGGCGGCCCCGCTGTCTCCCCCGCGGCGGCGGCTCCGCGCCCTCCGGGCCCGGGCGGCGGGGCTGCCCCTGTCCCGCTCCCGCCGTGGCCCCTGGTGCTGGGAAAGGGGCGTCCTCCAGAAAAACTGGATGCGCGTTAAAAATGATACAATTCGGGGCGCGCACCTGTGTTTGTTGAGGAGGCCGGGGGTGCCGCTTGGAGACAGCGCGGTGGTCGGGTGGGGGCACTTGCGCGTTGCGATGCGCTGCGGCGATCTTCCCGTTTTCTTGAGGGTTAAACTGCGTATGTGGCAAATACTGGTTAACGACTTCGAGAGAGTGTGTTGCACGGGGAGTCATATTTTGGATGTTCCGAAGAAAGTGGTTTAAGTATAGAAAATTCTGTTCTTACAGTGTCGTGCATCATCGCTGTCTTAGCTGTTGTGACAAACTACAGAATATATTGCAGTGCTGTAGTAATTAAATCAATATTCAAGTTAAATTTTATGCTTAATTATTCTTAACACGCTTTAAGTGTTACTGCAATTTCAAGTTGAAGTCTTTCCCTACAGTTATTTTCTGTTTCTCACTGATTATTTAGGCTATAGGAGATAGCAAAAAATAATTCTAAAACCTAAAAGGTTTAGAAGAGGTGAAATACTGATATCTTAGTGAGTTCTACTAATGTAAACTTCACTTGTGACTCATGCGTATTCTAACTATTGTAGCTGTGGTGATTAAAACTTAAAAAGCATAGAATGTAGATAGGACAGTAGGTTTTCAGAGCATGCCGCATCTGACTTGTAAACAGCTCTTCAAGTCTGACTGGTTGTGAATCTTTTCGTATTCAGAGTAGCAGTCTTAAACTTCTGCATTTTTAAAGCATTCATGCTGCTCTTTACTCTTGGGAAGTGGCAGAGAAAAGCAGTTGGTGAAGCTCGGGTCAGTAACAACTGCAGAACTGGTGCAGGTGGAACAGGAGTGACAGGAGGGCATTCACTGTGTCACAGTTGGGTTTTAAGCTGTCATGTAAAGTTATGGAATAAATAGGGGAGTGACCGTGTTGGGGTGTACCAGTTTTTCACAGGCCATCAGCAAGTGCTGCTCAGTCTGCAGCAACCAACAGCCCATGTGAGTGATCTCGCTGGTGGTGCGTCCAGGGCAATTACTTGTACAGCCAGGCTGTGCGCTTGGGGGCAGGGGGAGCTGGTTTTCTCACTTAGGGTATCATAAAATGTAAGTACTATTTAAGGATGATATTACTTGAATTGATATAAAGAAAAACACATTGGAGACGCTTCTGTTAGTATTTTATTTATGGGAAGTTTCACAGTAATGCAAGCGGGAGGCAGCAGGAAACAGCGTATGGTGAAACTGAGGTTGAGACTGGGAAGTGCTTGTGTGGCTTTTAACTTTAACATGATCTGGTCTTGAATATCAAAGTAGCATTTACTGGTTTTGTTTAAAACTCAGCTAATGGAGTTGGTGTTCTAGTTTTCTATTTGGTGTAAATAGGCAGCAATATTTGTGTAATATCTTTCAGGTTGCTTGGTATTTTATATTTTTATAGTAATGTTCGGATTCAGCAAACACAAATGCTGGCTTTTCATGATGTGTTATAGCTGCAAGTATAAACTACTTTCACACCAATTAGAAGCTGTGTAGATGCATAAATGGAACATAATTAGATTGTTCTTAACATTTGGACATGTGTAAGTATTGATCTTGATGTAGGAATTTTGGGGAAGAAACAATGATAGTCCTTTTAAATATTTTTCCTTAGATTTTGTATATTCCTACTTTAAATGTGCAGATGCTTTTTATTTTTCCCTTCGCTGTGACTGCCCTTGCTGTGCCCAGATAGTATGCTGTCATAATGTAGAGGCATTGTTTTCTGGAGTAGCTGCTCGAGTTCAAAAGAGGCATTTTGCTAGTGTGAAATTTGTAGTACTGAGAAAGTATTAATTCCATTACGTGTCTAAAATCAGTGTGTATAAAACAATGATGCGGCTTTACTTAAGAGAGAATGGGTGTCTTTCATTGTTTTCTTAGTATTCCAATGGGATTATGAGCTGTGATCAAGTCCTCTTTACTCCCTTTACTGAGTGAATGTATGAGGAGAAATGAAGTGTTCTCAGTAATTATCCCCTGGTATGAAATAGTGTCACTAACAGGAAACGCCCTTTGCCATTAACTGTCCAGGACAGTGATGCTGGTTTTCTTATTTGTCTGGATGCACCTACCTCAAACAAGGTTGGGTGAAATACATAGTTGTTCTTGCATGTTTTAAGGTAATCTTTAGAAATACCATTTGACAGTCTACTGTGATATTGTCTAATTGTAGATACAGAACAGGTAGGGACCAGCAAACTGCTTCAAGGAGTCTACACAAGGGAGGTTGTTAACCAACTTTGTGACCTCCACATCTGCAGGGCATTTAAAGTTCTGTTCGTTCCCATTTGAAAGAAGTAGCCTCAGGCACTCAGCCTTAGTGCCCTTCTTCCAGAGATTAAAATCTTAAATGTGAAGGACTATACAATTTGTATTCTTTAAAGTGTAAGACACGCAACATAAATTGCCCAGAACTCTGAGATTTTTCTAGCGTGTGGGAAGAGCAGAAAAACCTGTATAAAGTTGTCACGGCTTAATAGTGCAGTGTGTAAATATAAAGTGATGGAAATGTTAAATGGAAAATTATTTTTGCTTGAATGTTACAGGTGTTTTCATTATATGTAGTAGTCCTGGTATTTTTGCAAATCCTTCTGATTTACATTTTGGCTCAATGTAACTTGAAGTCCCAGAATATTTGTTAACATTGTAATACAATTTGGTGAATAATTTTTTATTACTGTGATTTGTGATTTTTGTATATGAGGGTGCTGTTCCTAATACAATTTGTACTGTTTCTTTGGAGACTTCTTTTAAGGTCCAAGTGATCTATAATTCAGTGGTAGAAGCTTTAGTATTAGTTATATGCAGTTAAGTTTATTTTTGCATTGTAACAGTGACTGATAATGGTGTATGCGAACAGCTTTACTTATGATGTCTAAGCGGAGAGGCAATTAATTTGTTTGAGATATAGCCTCTACAAAGTGAGACAGTTAAGTCCCTAAGTGAGCTGTAGCTTTTTTTTCTTAAGGGTATGTTTCTGTGTAAGTACTATTTTTGTACCTTCATGCACCTGCCAGCTGACTTGACCTGTGTGGGCAGTGAGGCTGAGGGTGTGTTTCCAGCTCCTGCCGCCCCTTGCTCCTGCTGCAGTGCTGGGCATGGAGCAGCAACAGATGATTTGGTGAGTGACCAGCTCAGTCCAGGTGTGTTTGTGTAAACTCCCCACATTGCCTAAAACTTGTATTCTGTATCTGTGATCTCTTCAAGTAGATTATTGTCTTTTGGGATGGGAAGAGTGTCTTCAGGTACCTGAGCCAACACTGAGCAGGCTCCCCTTTTATCTGCAGCAGGTATATACACAAAGAGTAACTGGTGCATAAGTGGTGATGATGACCCTCAGAGGTACTTTTATCTCTTCCTTGTTAGTCTTTCTGCTTCCTCAACAAGGACAGAGATCTGGAGGAAAGTCAAGAGCTGCTTCACAACCATTCAGAAAGCAGCAGCTGTCTTTATCAGCCACCTTATCTCTTTTATTTGGGCTTGCTCTGATAATTTCTTTTGTATACAATGGACGTTGGGCACAGGTGTACACAACTGAACCATTTGTAGCTGAGGGGATATAACATGCTATACCATTAGCAGTGTGTGTATGCAGGGATGTACTGTGTGTTTACCCTTAGCAACTCTCCTCTCAAATTCCCTGTCACAAAAAGTAATAGCTTTAGTTTCTATGTTCTTGGGATATGACCAAAAATTTATTATTTTCTTATCTTGGATCTAAATGAAGTACACAGTTCCTTATGGTGATATGTTACATGTCTCTTTTATTTCAGCAGTGTAGATTCAAGACCGGTTCATAGTTCTGCACTTTAGCTGAGACACCTGCTTTGTGGGTAGTGGTTGATCGCTTTGGATCCAAATTGGTGCAATACCTAGTGTGCGCTTACTGTGGTTCTTTCATGTGCTCTCTTCCTGCTTTTCTGAATTACTTACAGAGACTAATATCAAAGTCTCTCTGAAATACTAAACCTTTAACAGAATTTTAGTGTGCTTTGATTTGTTTTAGCAGGGTGATAGCCTTTCTGCTCCACAGGGAATATACCATCTAGATACCTTATGTCCAGACTAATCCTAAAGTACATTTTCCTTTTTGGCTTTGTAAGAGTATTGCTGTATGCAGCTTAAGCGTGAGCAGTATTTTGGGCTGATTTTTATTTTTAACCAATAAATGGTATGTATTCTCCCCATTTGTATGTTATCATTGAAAACCAAGTAAGACATTGCATTAAAGGTAGATGGGTTGTTTAAATCTTTTGATTCTAGGCCTTCAGCTTCACAAATCAGGTCAAATTCTATTTAAGATACCAAGGGAATTCAGTCTTTTCATAAAAGTGACGAACTTCTTTGACGGAAATCTATCTGAGTCAGTTGTCTTCTCAAGGTAATACGATATTCCTTTTAGTGTAGGGCAAAGATGGGGTTGAGCCTTTCATCCTCTGTAGCATACATTAGTTCAGGGAGCAGCTGAAGTTTATAAAACCTATAAGAGAGTAGCACCATTATAATGAGGTGCATACCTAAAATGAAGCATGTACCATTATTTATGTACTGTGTGGAATCTATCAGAGATTAATGCAGGAAGTTTCAGTGGAAGGAGTACAATTCTTGGGGCACTTTTAAAAGCCCACTTAAAAAGAATAGTTTGTAAAAGTGAGTCTTGTGCATGGAGGAATGTGAGCTGCTAAATTTGGTGGAACTCTTATAGTCACTATCGTTTGTCAGAGGCTCAGAGATTAAAAGGGCTGCCACATGTTTGATGGCACCTCCCATTCCAAACCTCTTGTATGTGTACCCTGCACTGGAGGGCTATAAAGAGGCAGACAGTGGTTTTCTGGGAAGGTCAGAGGATATGAATTGGTTTTAATCCCAAAATGAGCAGTGTTGTAGTTAGATGGAAAACTTTGAATGTGGCATGTAGGTTTTTTTCAGCTTGTTGTAGGTAAATACTGCCTAGTCTGAATATTCCCTAGTGCTCAATGGCGTAAGCACTGGGTGGAGGAGGGAGAGGGAGTTGCCTCCAGAAGGGTGATCTCCTGAAGTAGCAGAAAGGGGGATGCTCTGCCTCTGTCCTGGTCTGGGCAGTGGCAGCTGTGTAGTCATGCTGAGGAAGGGGTGGAGGAGGTTGCCCTGTAGCTGCTTGCTTCACTTGTAGGTGGGGTTTTATTATCTATAATTGTTGTCATGGGAAATGGGAGAGAGACAGATTTGCTGTGAATGTGCCTGATGCTTTGAGTCTTTCGTCTTCTTTCATTTTTGAAGAGTGAAGCAAATAGTGCAGCTGAGTATTTGCAGCTGTCTAGTTCTTTGAGCATTTAGGAATTGTGTCTTTTATGACCTGTTAGTGCTTTGTTAGCTGCAGAAATGTCCAGCAGCACTGAATGGTGCTTAGGAATGGCACATGGTGTGATTCTCAGGGTTGTCCTGTGCAAGGCCAGGAGCTGAACTTTGATGATCCTTGTGAGTCCCTTCCAACTCATGATATTCTATGATTCTACGATAAAGTTTGTCCAAATAGATGGACAAATATTTTTGTTGGCAACTGCATAAAGATCCCTTGTGTAAGGGGACTGAAGAAGGCTTTTGGCACCAGCAACAGGTGAGCCCAGTGCGGGGATGTGCGTGTGCCTGGAAACTGCAAGCAGCTCTCTGGGCTTGTCTTTCTTCAGAAAAATTGTCTGGAAAGGGAAGCTATCAGGAAATTGCTAAAGGGCTTATTTAGTTTTGGTTGGTTTGTTTTTGTTCCCTGACTGGACACCAGTACATGGGATCAGTGTAGTTATTTCATTATATAAGCCAGGGTACACCGTGGAGTGTTGCAGCAGTGGAAAAATGTGGTGAGGCAAGTTGTGTCTTTGTTAATGTACAGTGGCATGGCACCTCAGCAAGCATTATGTTGTTTGGATTCTCACGTGGGGAGAGAGAGACAGATACTTTATGCACTGGAAGAGGATGGCAGCAGA